GAAGAAGAAGAAGAAGAAGAAGAAGAAGCGGCACAAGGCTGGCGGGGAGAACCCGGAGCTGGAATCGGACCCGGGATTCGGAAGCGTGGAAGACCTGGAGCCCGAGGGGGAGTGGTGGGCGCTAGTGGAGTACCCGGAGACCCCGAAGGGGGGAGAGGCGCACCGGGAGGAGGAGGAGGAGGCCAGGAGCGAGAGTGGCGTGTCATCACCGCCACCGTCAAGGAAGGCAAAGAAACGTCAGCGGCAAAGAGGAGCTGGTGATCAGAGGGTCGTCCCCTCGGAAGGCTCCTCGCCGGGCGCACCCCCACGAGTGAAGGCAGAGCAGAAGAGCCTGCGTGGCTCAGAGACTCCTGATGCCAGAGACAGAGCCGTGGTGCTGTCTCCTTCCGAAAGGCAGGAGTCAGGTCCTGATGGGTAGGTGGTCATCAACGACCTGCAGGTTCATCCTCCTGTTAGGTTTTTGAGCTATTCACCACTGGCCCTCTTTATTTGTAGAACACCTTGGCAGTGCCCAGTTTTAAACGGTCACACAGAAGGATCTGTTGATTTGTGCTCTTGACAGTGGGGAATAGGCCGACGGAGCCAGTTCATAGTTTAGACTGTACGTTTTGGTTTTACCATTCCCCTCCCAATTACCGCCTGCCATGTTCCTTTATTTTCCCAATTCAGTGTATTTCCTCCACACCTTGCAGAAAAGGCAAGGTCTAATTCGGGTCTCCCGTCTGTCTTCGCTCCTGGGGGTGACAGGGCCTTCTCCCGCTGCGCCCCAGAGCTCTGGAACCCTCTCCCTGAGGATATCAGAGAGTCACCTTCCCTGACTGCAAACTTTCTTTTTTTAAAAGGGCTTTTAATTAATCGGGTTCTGTGTGCTCCTTGGCTTTCCTGCTGTTTTTCATACCCCCGCCTGCCATCTCCTCCGAGGGGTTTCTGCTGTTGGATAAAGCACTTTGAGAAGCCCCTTTACAGGCACTATATGAAGATAAAAAGTGAATTAACATCATTCTTATGATTTCTCTTGGAAGGCAGGGTATCGAACCGATCTGCGATGATGAAGTGCAGAGGTACATTATACAGCTGAAGGAGTTCATTCCCAATGTGGAGAAGAGGTGTCCGCGTGAGATCATTAAGATGGGAGTCTACGACCTGGAGAGATTTCAGGCGTTTAAAAGGGAAGGTATGTGCCTCTCGAGCCGTATGACAATTCCAGCACTTTCAAAAATTGAATTGTAAAATTGTAGCTGCTGCTGAAGCTGTTTTTCACTACAGCTGTCAAAGTCAGATCAGTTTTTAATATCGAGCCGTCTTTTAGGCCTTCTGAAGGCTTCAGCGATTTTAGAAATCAGATGCGGATCCATAGAGAAAGGCGTAAAGGTTTCTGAAATAAGACGGACCGCCTGTATGACAAATAAACGTTTCCTGTCGATCTGTAGGTATCGTACTCCGCCGAGGAAGATACAGCGCTGAGGAAAACGATCGCCTACGCAAAAATGTGGAGAATTTCCTTCTGCTGACTGGGATCGACACCGCGACCAAGCTGTTCTTCCCTGCGCGCTATCCCAATGAAAAGACTACGATCACGAAGCTGAAAAACGTACATAAATTCCACAAACAGATCGGTGGGTTCCTCAGTGCAATGAATGGTGTGCTGGAGCAGTTATTCTTCCTTCAGAATGTGTCGTGTGCAGGTTGGAGATAAACCAAAATCATGTAATCACTGAAAACAGGCTAGACTGGCGCGGCAGGAAAGAATGAGTGTCCAGCGTCTGAAAGAGGGGAGAGGCTCATGCATCTGTTCATGTTTAGAAGCCTACCAAAGTGCTCACACGCTCTGCCATTTGCAACTGCAGTCCAGTTTTAGTTGACAATGATCCACAAATGTTCGGTCCATGAACACCCTTCCGAAATGGGAAGTGGTGGGGGAGTGACATCGTCATGTATAACAATATGACTGCAGCAGGAAAGGTGGAGATATCAATTAATACAAGCAAAAGAGGGGAAACACCTGGCTTGGTGAAACAATATGGGTTTTCATTATACATGTAATTTCTATTTTTGCTTATTTAGTGTTATTTAAACTGAAAATGCATGAATCATTAATATTTTATAATGTACTCCCAGAGTGGTCCATAAGTGCACTTCATATATTTAATAATAATAATAATAATTGCTTACACTTATATAGCGCTTTTCTGGACACTCCACTCAAAGCGCTTTACAGGTAATGGGGACTCCCCTCCACCACCACCAATGTGCAGCATCCACCTGGATGATGCGACGGCAGCCATAGTGCGCCAGAACGCTCACCACACATCAGCTATCAGTGGGGAGGAGAGCAGAGTAATGTAGCCAATTCGGTTTTACGTCTCATCCGAAGGACGGCGCCTGTTTGCAGTATAGTGTCCCCGTCACTATATTGGGGCATTAGGACCCACATGGACCGCAGGGTGAGCGCCCCCCGCTGGCCCCACTAACACCTCTTCCAGCAGCAACCTTAGTTTTTCCCAGGAGGTCTCCCATCCAGGTACTGACCAGGCTCACACCTGCTTAGCTTCAGTGGGTTGCCAGTTGTGAGTTGCAGGGTGATATGGCTGCTGGCATATTGCATTTAAAATGTTTCTAGATTTTCAAGTTTGGTCTGCTTTTCGTCTTGTATGTGTTTCTGGATAGTTTTTATCAATGGTAATGTTTGGATGCGTGTAAAAGAAACAAAAGCGAGTGAGATTCAAAGTTCGGGGAGAGAGATGCACAAGAACTGCTGTCCTCTGCTAGATTTCAAGTTGCCTTAATTGTGGCAAATTGTTTTTTTTTGTTGGCATCTTTATTGCAGTCCCTGCGATTAATTAATCTAATTAATCTAATTTTCTCCAGCTGATGGGATTCCCCGGCCTTGGCATGACATTTACACAAGAGGAAGGAAAATGTTCGATTCCTATAACTACAAGGGCAGGTGAGAGTTCTCACATACGTGTGGCAGAAGTGCCGGGGGATGGAGGCTTTTGTTTTAGCTAAAACAGGACTTTTCAGACAAGCGCTTGACCAGGTCTTTGTCCCAGTATTAGACTGAGCTAGAATGGTTTTAAGTACAGTTGTGTATGAACCCCTTTCACGGTGTCGGACTCAGGTTTACAGAAGATGATCTGAAGGCGCTACGCAAGTACCACTCTATGTATGGCAACAACTGGACGAAGATCTCGGAGTTGATGGGCCGCAGTAATCACTCCCTGGAGATGCGCTTTTCTCAGATGGGTATGTTTAGCCTGCTCCTGAGCTTCATCCGCCTCATCTTGTATGTGCACCAAGACCAAGAAACATCCCTCCTTCTCTCTGTGTGCTGCATTAACAAATCCCAAAGCAGCATTGTTAAACTGTACAGAAAAGCAGCCAGCCACACGATGTAACCGTAGGAAAGGTGAGTAAAACATAGAGGTATCCCCATAACTGAAAGCAAGGGGATTGCAGCTTATTGCTATTAAAAGTATTGCATTTATTTGCAATCCAAAACTGTCTGTACGTTCTGGTACACCAAAGACTGGGTTTGCGCAAACTAGCATCTAAATACACTCTGACCTTAAGCTGTGGACACGCTGTCTTTGTGGATATTTGTACTCTACTGTAGAAACAAAAGTGCTTTTGAGAAAACCTGCACAGAGGAGTGGAGGCCATTTTTCTCAACTAGCTAGAATGTGCTTGCTAGTAGCTAATGCCTCAGAGGGTCTCAAATACCCTTTTCTTGGAAGAAGGCATAGTGTCAGCTACAACAGCAAGGCGGTCTTGTTCCAGGCTCCCACCACTGTTTGTGTAAAGAAGTGATTTTCAGTTTTAAACGTGCTTCTTCATTGTTTACGTCCCTGTCCTCTGGTTCATGTTTCACTGTGTGGTTCTGAAGAGGTCTTGTACTCGTCTCGTCTCGATTCGAGATGATTACAAGGCCGTGTGTTTTAGAGTGGGGCCCAGAGAAAGTGACCCCAGGAATGCGTCTCGGCGGCTCTTCTCCAGGCTGACGCAGGGCTGTGGGCTGTGTTTCTCCCTGCAGCGCAGAACAAAGGAGTGTGGCGCAAGGAGGAGCTGAGGGCTCTGATGAGGGCCATCGGGGCTCACATGCTGACGCAGCTGGACCCCGAGGAGGCGGCCAGAGGCCAGCAGGCCACCATCGCGCGCGAGAAGCTCTACAAGGGCATCCCCTGGGTCGAGGTGGCGCTGAAAGTGCAAACGCGCAGCTGGTGCCAGTGCAGGACCAAGTGGTGAGTCTAGGTAACGGAGTGCCTTTGGCGTCTGCTGGGTGACGTGGGAATGAGGCCAGCTGGAGGACATGATGTCAGCCTGCCGGCTAGCAGACTCTGGCGGGTCAGGGCACGCCCTCGTCAATCCCATCACCCTCTTCTCGGAGCAGCGCGGGGTGCAGGTTGGATTGATTGTTTCACAGGGTTCTTGTGAGAATTTTTTTAGGTCGCTTTAGAAATCAGGGGGAACGTTCAAAAGTAATAGTGGAACTGTACTATATAAAACGGCTTTGGAGACTGAGCACAATACGTCTTTCACGCCTTGTTATGCAGTGTAAACCATTTTTCTATGTAAGCTACTATTCCATTATTATTCAAATCATGAAGTACACTCATGGAAGTAGTTCATTTGGAATATAAGCTGTGTGAAATAGAGGTATTTAGTGCATTATTCTTGGAGCATTTCCTGTAGCTGCCTGATCTGGAATACTTGCCTGTGGAGAATCTGATTGTTTTCCCCCCTCTGTAGGTTGTCGAAATAGGGGGAATGTTAATACTTTTCTTCATCCTTAAATTGTATACCACCTTCAGGCCTCCAAAGTTAACTGAGCAAAATTCTAATCTCTCCATTGAAAAAAATGATAGCTTCACTTTTGCTTTACAATGATTTCTTAGGAGAGCAAGGCATTATTTTAGAAATGTTAATTGTTGGTGGGAGTCTGTACCATATTATTCTTCATATAAATATTTTTTATTTGTAGCGGTCTCCTCCTGTACATGATTGTGAATATTACATTAACTAATTTCAACTGCTTGCGTTTACGTTTAGCATTCAAAATATAAAATAAACGTATAAATAATTAGCAAAGGAAAATATGCTATTCAGTATTCATGGATTCAGTAGATGTATTCAGACTTTTTCACGTAGAATGCAGAAAGTGAAAAGGGATGAATGTTGTCCGTGGAAATATGAATTCACCAGGACTTTCAGGGTCCCTGCAGTCAACCACATTGCAGAAGCCCAACCAGCTGACAGCATGGCTTTAATAAAGCTCACCCTAGCCTTGAAAACAACGTTCTTCTTCTTTTCCAGGATGTCAGTTCTAATGAAGAAGATGTCATTGGGGGAGGATGTCTACAAAGGATCAAAGTCTTATAAAGCCAAAATCAACTTAATCAAAAAGTATGTAGACATGGTGAAAACGTGTGTATATTTGTCTGTCTGTGATCCGTACATGATAGCTCTGCTCTACATGATAGACGTGAAGCAGTTGGTGTGGGTGGCTCTGCTCATTTAAAGGGTTGTCAGTGAAACTCCCATTTTTACTGCTGTCCGCGTTGGAAACACGCCTAAATATTTCCGTTTCCCTGCTGCTTCCTAAGAGAGGGGAGCTGCATTGTGTTGCTAAGTTGGCTGTTTCGTTTTGAAGTCCACTTTGAACAGCTTTAATTCAGTCCATGTGCTTTGAGCTCTGAATAACAAGGACAGAATATATGTTGGAAGTTAGAAGGCTCACCTTTTCAGACCATGCCCACTCAGACGCAGTACCAAGTAGTGAACACGTCTTCTTGCAAATGAGATGAAGTGAGCGGAGTCGAGCCAGGCGATCTGGGCCCCGACAGTTTAAGCATGGGGCCCGTGTCCTTATCTAGCTGTAGCCTGGTCTGCACAAACGCTGACGTGCCAGCTGGGCAGACTCTAGGTGTCCAAGGTCTCCTGGGCCCTTGATGCCAACCTGGACTCCGAGAGCTGCCACATACCAGCGGAGAGGACACTGGGAAACGGCCACTGACTCTCCTGAAACGCAGGGTGTCCACTGCCACGTGCCAGGCCTGTCTGAGGGGTGTGTCCGTGGGTCAGTGTTGTTCCCCGTGCAGTAAGGGGCTGTATCATTCACTCTTAATGACCGGTTGCAAATTCGAATGGGAATGCGGTTTAAGATTGAATTGCGGATTTCCCGTTTTTTAAATACCGTTCTGTTTGCAGGACAGTAAAACAATATTTTGAAGACGTGCAAAAGTCTTAAAATGGCTCGTCTTTTGTTCCCCGTGAAATACTGGAATGCATAAATGATGAGCTTCTTTAAATACTTCTATGTGGTTTGTAAAGGCAAAGTTGTGCAGGCGATGAAGAGGAAGAACTGGTCTTGACTAGGTGAGTCCAGTGCAGTATCGGGCGACGCACCAGCATTCATATTAAATGTATCTGCTTCTCTTTTCCTAGGCTGTACTCCTTGAATGTTGAAGATGTAGCGGATGTAAATTGGGATGACCTCACAGACACAATTGGGTGAGTTTCTTTGGTTTGGTAATTTGGGATGTTCTGTTTTGAAGGCCCCAAAAAACACCACTTTCAGAAGCAGGAAGAAGTAGCATAAAGCTTGCAAATGAGGTGGACACAGCAACCCACCTTTCTCACTTGATAGTTTAATGTCCTCGTGGCCAGATGCTTTTTGGAGGAGCTCAGCTACTGGACTGGGGAGCCTGGTCTTCACCTGCAAGGTTGAGGTTGTCTGGAATCGTTGTGTATTCTCTCGTCATGAGTGAATCCCCTCTCCATTTCCTGTTGTCCCCGTTCCTCCGCCGAGCCTGAAGAAGCCTCCTGTGTTGGCCCTATCGATACCCTTAGGATTCTGTGTACTTGGATCAAATCTTCTTTTGATCTCCTTTGTTCTAGACTGAACAGCATTAGCTCCTTTTACCCGTCTGTATGTGAATCCCCTGAGACTGGAAGTCATTCTTGTTGCTCTTCTTTGAACTCTTAAGACTGTAATATCCTTTTATGGTATAGTGACCAGAACTAAACCCGATATTCCAAGAGGTCTTAACTAAACCATCGGAAAACCTGGTACTTGTGCTTGTATACCTTGGCTTTCCTTTTTTATTGCCATGAAATTTTTAGTTCATGGCAACCTAGAAGAATCTACATAAACACCCAGTTTCCTTTCTGTACCACTATACAACAAGGTAAATCTTTGATATAGACCAGGAAAAGCCACAGGCCTGCAACAGATCCCTGAGATACACCACTGCATTACATCAACCTAGTGAAAGGATCATTCGTCTTAGAATGTCTTGGTTCCTGTTTGTTAACCAGGTGTCCTCAATCCATGTGCAGACAGTTCCTTGGATACTTCTGATACTTTAACTTTGAGCGTTTCTTTTGTGGGGTTCCATGTCTAAAGCTTATCAGAAATACGTATACGTCATTCTATATGCTTTAGCTGCTTCGCTGTTCACATGTTAAAAAAAAAAAGTCTTGTGAGACAAGACCTTCCTTTTCTAAATCTGAATTACTTGTCTCTCCTTCTTTTATTTTGTAACATTCTTCCAGGTTAGCTTGAACTGTTTAGCCGCCAGTAGCGGAACTGCGGTTTCTTGGGTGTTTAACCTTTGTCCCCTCCTCCTCAGGGACGTGCCCCCTGCCTATGTGCAGGCTAAGTTCTACAAGCTGAAGGTCACCTGTGTTCCCCTGTGGCAGAACAAGTCATTCGGAGGTGAGTCTTTCCAGCTGTCGCTGCATTTCCAGTCTTGTACAGACAGGGTCGTCTACAATCCCTGTATCTGCGGGTTTCATTTTTGTTTAAGTGTTTTATAATTGTCGCTTGTCCTAAAATCTGAACAGAATTGCTGTACGAGGAACTCCAAAAATGGGGGGAAACAACTCTGCATGACAACATTTCAGCTGGGTACCTCAAATCAGTGCGATGGCTGTTTCAACTTCGGCTTCCCTGATAACCAGTATGCTGTGTAGTATATGACCAGTTATTGACTGGCTGCTTCCTGAATGATGGACTGTTCTATTTGAGTACGCCAGGGGGTATCAGAGGCTATGGGGCCAACACCAGCAGCCAGCAGCCATATCACCCTGCAACTCACAACTGGCACCCCACTGAAGCTAAGCAGGTGTGAGCCTGGTCAGTACCTGGATGGGAGACCTCCTGGGAAAAACTAAGGTTGCTGCTGGAAGAGGTGTTAGTGGGGCCAGCAGGGGGCGCTCACCCTGAGGTCCATGTGGGTCCTAATGCCCCAGTATAGTGACGGGGACACTATACTGTAAACAGGCGCCGTCCTTCGGATGAGACGTAAAACCGAGGTCCTGACTCTCTGTGGTCATTAAAAATCCCAGGGCGCTTCTAGAAAAGAGTAGGGGTGTAACCCCGGTGTCCTGGCCAAATTTCCAATTGGCCCTTACCAATCATGGCCTCCTAATAATCCCCCTCTATGAATTGGCTACATCACTCTGCTCTCCTCCCCACTGATAGCTGATGTGTGGTGAGCGTTCTGGCGCACTATGGCTGCCGTCGCATCATCCAGGTGGATGCTACACACTGGTGGTGGTGGAGGGGAGTCCCCATTACCTGTAAAGCGCTTTGAGTGGAGTGTCCAGAAAAGCGCTATATAAGTGTAAGCAATTATTATTATTATTATTATTACCAGCTGTCACAAAGGTGGCCTTTTTGTAAAGACTTGCTGTAAATACTGTTCTGACAGGGTGTAGACCAGCTGTTACATGTATAGAATATCTGACTGCTGGTGTTGGCTCACTATACAGTGTGTCTGTCTTGCTAAGAGTTAAAGTAAGATTGGTAGAAAGCAGAGGCTGAAGTAATCACCCCTGTTCCAAGTCTATGCTACTGCAAACTGAACCCACCACTTCTCTGAACTGATTTTCCTGAATTTGCTTTCTTTTATCTCTTTTCTTTTCTGTGTCCTGATTAAGTTTGTTCAGTCTGAAGACTTTGCTTTTTAATAATGGTCATTTTCGGAACTTCTGGTCTTGTCGACTGTTAGCGTCCTGTACAGGAGTTCCGTTCTGTTATGTGCATGCAGGTTAACTGGGTTATCTTATCTTGTATAGGATGTTATTTTCTTTCTTTCCGTCAAGTGGAGGTGTTGGAGCTCACCTGATATAATTTTAAAGCGAAGTGTGGGAGACACAGACCAGCGTTCTGCCTCACACACCAGCCTACACAAACCGCAGGGCAACTTGAAAAGCACTGTAGTGGTGCTCGAATTTGCAATAAGAAAATTAGGTCACCTGCAGATCACACATGGTCTGTGGGCACCTTTTTTTTAGCAGGAACAAATGTCAGCTGCTGCAGTAAGAGTGACACCAGCTGGAGCGAGATTTGCATTTGGCAGTTTGTAACTGTTGCATGCAAGGATGAATGATTTTGGCTCCAGATACAGTAACATTCACATTGCAGTTCACAGCCTTCCAGTTTTCCCAGGAAGAAAGAGACGTCCGACCTTGTCTATTCCTGTTTTGACTGTTGTGTTACCGTGATCTTTGCTTCTAGTCTGTGTGGGTTCGGTGTTTCCGGTTTGACTGTGCTGGTGTGTCGGCGTGACCTTTCTGAGATTGTTCAGACTTTATTTTTACACCTCCGCTCCTCTCTTGCCTGCCCCTTCTGAAACTGAAACGCTTGCATCTCCCTCTGAAGTGACCAGGACCTATATCCCCATCCTCTGTGGCCCTTGCAAAGAGGAAGACATGAAGATAGACTGTGTGTGGATGGTGACGGGTGCCTGCCATCCTTACCTTTCAGACTTCAACATTTCTTCCTTTCAGTAATGACCAGTTTAATAGCCATACACAAGGTGGCACAGGGGTGAGCATTGCTGTCTCGCCGCGCTGGGGCCCTGGGATCAATTCCAGACCGGAGATGTTCTCATGTGTTAGCGTGAGTTTCCTCTGGCTGCTTCGGTTTCCTCCCACAGTGCAAAAGCATCATAGTAGGTCAGAAGGCTTCTGGGAGAACGGGCCCTGGTGTGAGTGTGTGTGTCTGTGTTTGTGTGTGCCCTGCGATGGATTCGTCTCGTGCCTGCTGCCTGCCAGGAAAGGCTCCCCTGTGACCCTGTACTGCATAAAACAGTTAGAAGGTAGAGGGCTCACAATATACTCTAGTTTAGAATCCAGCGATGCAATGCATTGTGTATCACATGGCCACATCAGTATACTCAGTTATGCACTTCTGGCCACAGCAGTTACAGTGGGATGCCAAGGGTTGCCAGTGTGGTGTATCTAGATTTTAATAACCGCCAATTCAAAAAAGGGTTGAAGTAAGTGAATTTTGTGGTAGCACCCTGTAGGTGACCCCAAGTTTTAAGAAATCTGTACCCTGCTTTGTTTCAGTTTTTTGTGGGAGGAGAGGGGGGGTTGTGAGATCACGGAGCGCTCAAGATCCGAACAAGCAGTGTCTCTGTAATGACCGTAGAAAGGAGCACTGCTGTATCTTCTGCTATTGATTTTGTTTTTTTGTCTTTTTAGATATCATTGACTACCTGTACATCAACACTCTTCCCAAGCTTGAAGACAAATTGATGAAAACCGAGCAGCTGGCAGAGCAAAACAATTTGAACTGCAGAAAGTCAGATTATTATCTTCTTTCCGAGATCTTAAACGATGATTTTATTGAAGAGGTGGACAGTGGCGACCAGGAAGTGTGAAGCAAAAGACATTTTATGCACAGCGTGAGATGGATACCTTCACAACAGAATCATCTTCTGTTGTGATAAATTCAGCTGTTTTGTTTTTTTTTTAGTATCAATGCATTCTCAAAACTTGTGGTCTGTGTTCAGAGAAGATTATTTTGAAGTTATTATAAAATTTCTATTTTTTGTAATTTCACAAAAAAAGTATGTGAAAAGAATGTCTGTTTTGTATGGAACAATGATTGAATTAATCATGAATCCTCATTGGAGATGTAAATAACTACACCTCGCCCTAAAAGCACAAAAATGACCAACTTTTAGCTGTAGAAAAGTGTTCTCTTATTGGTCTTTAAGGAGTACAGGTGGCTAATCACCTGGGGTACAGTGCCATTAAACTGGGAATGTGAAAGAAGCCAAATATTTATTTTTTCAGGTTGCTTTTGCAATATGAATTTGAAAAGCAACATTTATTTTCCTCATTGCAGTACAGTCTTTTAGCATACCTTGCTTGAGGAGCCTTGAATGACAACACCGACGTTACGCTCTCTGATATCCATCGAGTCTGATGCAGGGCTGGTTTTAAACGCTTGTTAGTCTGTTAACACTGAATGTTAATGGCACACTTAAGGTGTCAGATAAAGTGCAAGGGCTTCCCAGCAGGGACGGCATAATTATCCATTGAAGCATGGATAGGATTACTGTAAGTGATCTTCACGTCTCAAGTCCAGGTATTTGACTTGGAAAAGTAGCTGTGGTATTTCAGGGACTTCCTTATCTGTGTATTTGTTTAGTTCATTCATGGCTGTTGACTTCATCTGCTCTAAAACTTAATACACCCATTGAAAATCCGTTTTTGAAAATGGATATTGCATTATAGTGTTTAAGGTGGCTTCTGTCAGGCCTCAGGATAGAGATCCATTTTTCTGAACTTAAAAATGTCTTGTTCTGTATTTTCGTGATCAGCCCGGGAATTGCAAATACTTACGGCGACCTCTCCAGGGTGTTTCGTGCACTGCAGCAGCTCCGAAGGCACACCCGTGCCTTCTCGGGGCTGTGCCGGCACTAGGCCAGTTATCTCTAGGCTTTGGGACTTGTCCTGCCCTCTCAGGGGAGCCAAGAGCAGGCCTACCCAGGAGCTCACAGGAGCAGATTGTTTTTCAACTGCAAGTTGCCCATTTCCAGACGTACACCATCCCCCTCTGGAATGGCCATCTCGGATCGGCCCTTTACTGCCTGGGGAGAAGCAGGATCTGTAGATGAGATCCTCTCGGCGCCCGCCTGCCTGAGCCGCTCCTCCCGGAGGTCCCCCTGTGCGTCGCCATGATCACGTTTAACCCACAACGCGGAGCTCTGTGCGCCCACTCCCTACAAGTGGGTTCCTCTGTATGTAATGACGGGGGCGCTGGAGTGCTGGTCACCTCTCTCCGCACCGCGGTGTCTGAGCGCTCCTGTAGTTTCGCTCGGCTCAGGACTGGGGGACGGGAGGGACCGTCCTATGCCGTCAGGTTAAAAGGATGCATCTGTTCAGTCTCGGGACAGGGGAAACTCCCAGGTCACTTGTTTGAATTATTCAGTATTCTCGAAGGCATTGACTGTCTTCAGAATCGACAGTGAAGCTCGAACCGGAAGAGACACCAGTTAAAACCTTTGACTCGCGGGGCCAATTCTGTAATCCAGGTCCGAGGCAAAAAAAGAGCAGGAGAGGGTGCTTTTTCTTCCAAGACTTAAACATGTCTGCCGTCTTTTGTCGGAGTGGCGGAGCCGCTGCCCGTTTTTAAAGCAGGACTTTTCGCAAAGGAGGATTTTCAGAGTCAATGTACTTCTAATGTTGTGGGGGTCCTTCCCCACTTTTTAATTTTCTGTGAATTAAACCGTTTTTGTCTTGTGCAGCTTGAGTTGCCTCAATGAAGTTTATTAAAAGGAGAGGAAGCGAATTGAAGACTGAGCAACAGCAGACAATCTATGCAAGGGATCATGGAAATCTAGGCACAGCTACCTATCCACGCTGCTAAAGCCTTTAACATTTCTTCTGTTTTTACGCCAGTGACCCAAAAATGTGGGGGAAAAACAGATGCAAAAATAAGTAATTTAGACCTTGGGAAGTTGTGCTTCTGTTTTACAATGCTTTAGGAAAACCGTTTAGAGTATGCAGTTCCCTTTTGCTTCCCATACCACGAAAGGGTGTTCTAGTCTCGGAAGAGCAGTCAGAATGACTTTGCTGGTCTCTGGTATTTGGAGTGCACACCTCAAGAGCTGACTAACGGTTTTCTCAATAAATCATAACTCCTTGCAAGCCGTGTGTGAGATCACAGATTGGGTCTCTCTTTGTCTGAAATAATGTTAAAGGGGTTTTACCAGTGCAACCGCTAAGAAGCGGTAGGGAGAGGAATGCTTCAACGGGAATCCCAGGGCATTTTATTAAAAAAAAAAATTCCCGAGACAGTTTATCATGACATTTTGAAATATTTGTTGTGCCCTTAATCTTCATTTTATCAACACGACGAGGATTCGGGCGACCACGTGACCATGAGCGGCGACTTTGACCGCTAGTAACCCCGGCTGGGAAGAGTTCAAGCGCAGTTACTGGAGTTACTGGAGGGTAAGATCTCCAATTTTATTTCTCTGGTTGCCCTGGCGTGGGGGTTGAGCCTTAAAAAGCAAGACATTGCATGTTGTTAAAAGGCTTCAACCAGCCCGGTCTTTATACGTCGTAGCTCATTCCATTGTTTAGAAAGCTGAAGATGTAATCAGTCTCTCACCGTGTCGGTTTTTAAATATGCAAGTCAAGGACGTTTAAAGATTTAACCCGCCTTTCGAGTTATTTAAAAACAGAATTGGCAACTTTGCGTTACAAAACTATTGTTGTACTACTTATTTTATGCAAAGCAAATCCAGAAACATGAAAAGGAACACAGGGAATGATTTAAGGGGCACTATGTACCAAGTTGACCTAGGTACTTGATATCAGCAAAACAAGTTCCTGTCTCACACCTGCAGCGCTTGTAAATATTTTCACATAAGATTAAACATCTAGCTAAATGTTTTCAAAGGGTTGAGGCTTCCTGGACAGGCTTATGGTAGGAGTGCAGGACAGGGTCCTTACACAATTCGTGCCAGTTAAGCTGCCTCGCACCTTTGCAGCCACAGCTGAGGTGGGAACAGGCCAGTTCCAGCCAGGAGACCCTGTTAACTCCCAGCGCAGCACCTTGGTTGCTGTGGTGTTGTAGCACCGATGAGCCTGTCCTGCATTTGTCCCGTCAATACCACTGTTCTGCAGTTGAAAGTCTCAGGCCCTTTAATCCGTGCACTACAGGCGTGACAAGCGCAGAACAGAAGCTCCTTGGTTAGTGCAAGGTGTACCTCAATGAAGACAAATCAAATATCCCTCACTTTCCTTGATTATCCAGTTAGGGCATACCCATTTTCTTCCAGGTGGCATTGTTGCCCAAGAAAAGCTACCATTATCAATTACTATCCTCTCATCAGTAAAGCATTGATGTGGCACCACAGAGGTTCACAATACAGTGTGAACTCCTTTGACACAACCCAAGGGAAAGGATGCCATGGGGAAGTGTATTTAAAAGTCCATTGCACAAAGAGTTGTGGGAGAATGGCACAAGTGGCCCACCCATTTTGTTGAGACCAACAGCCTGTGTTCCTTCGAGCAATGGCTGCATGAGATTGGCGAATCAAGCTGATACCAGTAACCAGAAGGGCTCCACGGATCGAATACTGTCCTCTCGTTGGAACTTTCTCATGCTCTCGTAACGTCTTAAATAAACACACCAGCTGCATGACTAATAAGAAGAAAAAAGGTGGTAAATTCAGTTTATGATAAATGTTTACAGATACAAAATCTAACTTTTTGGTGCAGCGTTAAGATAAGTCA